AAATCAGTGCCATTATCTATTCAGTTTATCAATCTAAAGAAAAAAAAAATCACTTCCTAAGAAAATCACTTCTTTCCATTTTGCAAAACGCTTGTCCGAAATAGCAGGGGTGCTTGAGCCTATCCCAGCATCTTGGGCCATAGGCAAGCTGCACTACCATGCCACTCCATTCTAAAAGACTTACACAAATTAATATGACAGCTCAAATAGAGTTTAAGTCTATATGAATGGTTTTGTAATTGTGCCACATTCCTACAGTATATTTTGAGTGCATAAAAAGGTTCTATTATATATATTTTTTTCTATTATATCTATTAAGTTTTGTATGAAATATATGTGTTTTGATCTTATTAGTGCCTGATTCTTTCTGGACAATAGACGTTTATTAATGAATAAAGTGCTTGAGACTGTGCACACTATTTTGGTGTAGTCAGCGTTGCCAGGATGTCTTATAACCTATTATCCAATGACACATAGAAAAAGAAAGATTTAAACAAGCCATTAAAGCCAACATTGTCACAGATCTGATAAAAAGTCAAGAACAATAAATTGTCAAAAAGGGCATTAAATCTGCCACATAGCATTTTTAGTGGGAAATACTTTTTGTGGTTTTGTTTGTAGACAGATGACACAGAAAAGAAAAAAATTAAACATGACATCACATTTTGATGGAGAGTCCTAAACACAGTAAATTGTCATCTGCTCTGTCACATGCTACTGTAACCTACACTGAGCAAAGCAGGTGTAAGATGTTAAAATAAAATTGTCCGGAATTCAGAGCTGATCAATTTAAAAACAAATACGGAAGCTGAATTATATATAAATGGAAATTCAAAACACTAGACACTGGAGACCTCATATAGCCCTTAATATAATTGATTCATAGAACTTTGTGAATCTCTAAAACAGCTGATCATTAGATCAGTAAAGCAGATAAATATGAAACCATTCAAAAAGACTATGAATTAAACAGAATGTCCCTGAAAACAGCTCCATATAAGAGTACAGCAACTGGGCCTAAAAATGATGAAGACCTTGATAGACCTATTCAAACATTAATATTAGTATCAGATGCCACTCATGTGTTGCTCCATCATGTCTACCAGGCCTGAACAACAGTGATAAAAGGTGGCAGTGACATCTGGAAAGCTCAAGCTCAGTCTAGTGTTGCCCTTCACCAGATATCTGTGCCTTTCAGGGGAACAGAGGGAAAAGATTTCCTCTGGCTATGTAAAGAGTCTGGATTGCAAGGTGATGTAGTTATTAACTCTCACTTTTCTTCTTAAAAGTAGACATCTTATACGAGTAATATTCATAGCTGCCTCAATTTTGCAACCTAAGCCCAGATCAGTATTTCAATTTAGATAGGTAATAATATTCTTTACATAATCTCAGGGTTATTGGAGTCTCACAAAGGGCTCATATAATATGGTATGTGCAACATGTGTGTCCCATTTAAAAAGGCACATTGTTTAACCTCAGGAACTTTATTTTAATAAAAAAGAAAAATGCTTTTGAACACAACTGCAAGGCAACATATTTTCAGTTGGTCCTGTGTCTTAAAGAAATGGTTGTAAGTCTCAATATATCAAGCTATTAGGTGTTTTTAATGCATATTTCTACACACATAAATAATGACAATCACTTTTTAATTGCAATTGAAACAGTCACAAAACCTCCATTTGGATTACACTGGGTTTACATGAAAAAAGTGATTTACACTACTGTTCAATAGTTTGGTGTAAGATTTTTTTTTTTTTTTAAGTTTCTTATGCTCACCAAGGCTGCATTTATTTGGTCAAAAATACAGTAAAAACATTAACATTGTTAAATATTATAAAAATAACTTATTTCTATTTGAATGGATTTACAATGTAATTCCTTATTCCTGTGAATATTCAGTAGCCATTATTCCAGTCTTGAGTGACACAATACCTCAAAAATCAAATATCGCAGTTAACAAAAATGTTCTAAGAACGCTTTGCTAACATTCCCATTAATTTATGAAAACACTGTTTCTAAATATTCTCTGAAAGTTTAAAACATCCAATTTTTTTTTAATGATTTAAAAAAAAAATTCTTGATTATTTTCTTGAACATGATAACATTGAACGAACATTACACGAAAAGCATTTGTTCATAACTTTGAGAGAAGCTTGCCAGAATGTTAGCCAAAGTTTTGAAAATGTTCCTTTCTAGCTGGGATGCTGATTTGATGCTCAATTTATTATTATTATTATCAAAGTTGAAAACTGTTTTTGCTGCTTAATATATTTGTGGAAATTGTTATACAGAACAGCAGTTATTTGAAATGGAAAACTTTATAGATGTCTCTGATGTCACTTTTGATTCATTTAATGCATCCTTGTTGAATAAAAGTATTCATTTAAACGATGGTGTAGCCTACATAGACTAAAATTGCACAATACAGTCTTGACAAGTTTAAATCTCTATAAAACTATATCTTTGCAAGACTGTACATTATTGAACAAAGCAAATGTTAAAATATGTATTTCCTCTCACTCTCTGATTTTCTTACATTACTTACGAGTCTTACATTATATTGTAATTATATTAGCTAGGGCCTGCATTTGGAATGTTTTGTTTGGTTGCTTTTATTTGATCACTTCTGTATCACAAACAGAAACATCAATAAAAATAACAAAAATGATTGTGTGCAATAACTAGTATGTTTAACAGTGTTAATCTTAATACTGTTATTCATAATTGTCTTACAACCAGGTGGTAAGTGTCAATGACTCCTCTATTCTGCCCTGCCGGTTGGGCAGAGACTTGAGATACTCTAGGTGGTGAATTGCATCTTCTTGGTTGTGTCTTACATAGTTTACTAAATAGGATATAACCATTGTAAACCAGCCAAACATTGTTATCAGCATAGCCACGTCAGTGGTGCTCCGGAGTTCTGTGCAGAAGTCAAGTTCAATCGCTACCAGGATGAAGGGCATACCTTGAGCTCCCAACTCTTCAGGTTCAGAAGTGTTACACACCACCTCAGCGAGGGAGGAGGGATCGAAGAGCAGCTGCGGCACAGCCAGCTGCAGACGGCAGTCACACAACCAGGGGTTATGAGAGAGGTTATTCTGGGCTCTGACGTCACCGAATGCCTCAGGGTCCAGCGTCTCCAGCAGGTTAAAAGAAAGGTACAGGCTGCTCAATGAGTCCGCTTGGTCTCGAACGGCTCCAGGCTCCAGATGGACCAACCTGTTGTGGGAAAGATCTAGTTTGAACAGCAGTGGGAGCCCTATAAATGAATCAGATGGTATGGTAAGAAGCAGGTTGTTGTCTAGGTATAGATGTCGTGTGGTGTTTGGAAGGCCATGTGGCACCGCAATTAAATTCATGTCGCTACAACGGACCACCAGCCCACCGTCGACACTCTCCGAGCAGAAACAGCTCTCTGGGCATTTGATTTCTGTTTGGTGGGACTCTGACATACACACATCCAAGATATGGAGAAGAAGCATGAAAGTGAGAGAAAGGAAGCTGGCCACAGCACAACCCTCCCAGAGGAAACTGAACATCAGGAGGAGGAAGAGCCCACCTGCTCAAGACTCCAAAAACAAACAGGAAGAAAACACGAAGTCATTCCAACTGACACCCTGCTATCATTATGCTTGCTGATTGCAGAGTTATTTTGAGGATAAATGGGCACTTGTTAGGTTAATTACCATCAAGCAACTGCTGGTTTTGTTACGAAGCAAGCTTGCTTGTATTCTTCAGATGTACAGTAATGAATAAGAAATAGAAATCGATTTCTTCTTTGACAGTTCAACAATGTTACCATTCACTAATATCTCTATACAATAATCCTCAAGTCAGTCAATATATGTATTATCTGCACTATATATTCAGTTTTTATGTTCATTAAATACGTTCTGAATACGTTTGGGAACTTAATGGGCAAAAGGGTAAATAGGCTACTTACCTGCCAGAAAAGATGAAAACTCGCCTAACAAATGCTGGTGGTTTTGAGCGCATAAACATGTTGTATTTACACTGTACTGTAGAGTTTATTTCTTTCAATTTTCCATTGAAAATTAGCTCACCCGTTGCCGTTTATTCACTAATATCCTCCTAGCGTCGGGATGTGAACGTTTCTTCATTACTCAAACAACGCCTGTGATGTTTCCAAAATCTCCATTATTCATTCACAAATGAAACGGGTAGAAGTTCATTCCTGTCGTGAAGACCAACATCACCGTAGAGAAGCCTCTCGGTTCTGGTGTGGTTCTGGAGCACTGATCCTTTCCTCATACACAACACAAGATAAACTACAGGTGGCGCCATGCGAACGTTTGATTTTTCTTGACGCAGCTCTATGCACCTACTGTAGTTTCACATCACTGCAGTTCACGGTGCAAGTTTTTTGTTAATAACATAAAGAAATTGCTTTATTTAATATATTAAGATCCTAGATGTTTAGTATTTCCACAAACTAGTTAAATGCTTTTGATTTGCAATTTCCAATCTAATATTATTACTACTGAATTCTTATAAAAAGTTTAAAAATACAAAAATACATCCCTGTTTAGCTTTTATTTTATGTTAAAAGTGGTCTCAGACTTTTGGACCCCATTGTATGCCACAAAAATAAGTTAGAAAACACACACACACACACACACACACACACACACACACAACATTCCATGAGGTTTTAGGCCATACCTCTAATTACATTTTTATTACATAAAGACAACAGAATTACATTTTGCAGTAGCCTACTGTAGTTCACGATGCAAACATTTTTGTTAATAACATTATGAAATTGCTTTATTTAGTCTATTAAGATCCTAGATGTTAAGCTTTTTCCCCCACTAAAAAAATTTATTTTGCTATTTCTAATTTATATTGTTGTTGTTGTTTACAAATTAGATCTAAAAAATAATCAACAAATGATAATGGCTTATGGAGTTTAAAAACACAAATTTGAGAATTTATTGCTATGCTTTTATTTTATTTTATTTTAAAAGTGGTCTCAGACTTTTGGACCCCATTGCATGCCAAAAAATAAGTTATAAAACACAAAAACATTCCACCATGATGTTTTAGACTATAACTCTGCTGATATGTTCATTACATAAAGTCAACAGAATTATATTTTGGCATTTCTCTTTTGCCAGCGACAAGACCACGAAAGTGAATCAGTCAATAAACACAAATCTGTAACACTGTGACTTCTTCATCTGCTTTATTTCTGCACAGGTTCGACTAATCTCTGCTCTAGAAACTAGCAAGGTTTCTATGTAGAGCATCTGAGGCTCACGGCGTAGAGTTTGTATAGCATCACTGAACCAACGTCCATCAACAGCAGTCTTATGATCTCTTCCACTTGTGGATATCATCAGCATCCTCCTCCTGCGCTGCCTTCACATCACCCAGCGCAATCATCAGCTGTGCCAGGTAGTATGTTGTCATAATAATGTGCTTTTTGTATTCGACATCAAAGACATTGAACTTTGTCAGTGCAATCGTGAGGTCAGAAGCCATGAAGACCAGGCTGCCCAGCAGGATGAGAGGCCGCCGTGTACGAGCAGCCAGTGTGGCCATGATGACAATGAGCAGTATGTAACCCCCTATGGCTGGGACGAGAACATCAGCTTCTGGATCAAGCTGTAGGAAGGGCACCAGGTAAGCATACATTCCAATGCCGAACAACCACAGGATGAGGTAGAGGATAAAGAAAGAGACAGACGAAGATGTTGCAGAAAATCGAGAGGACAGGAAGGAAAAAGAGTAAACCAAGTGGGCCAGAGCAAAACAGCCCATTCCTAAAAAAAAAAAAAAAGACAGAGATAAGACTGTGAAGCAGAGTTATTATAGTTAACTAAAACTACAACCATAACAAAAACTATGCACGTATATATGTTTGTATAAACATAAAACTACTATGACAACACTGCTATGAAGAAATTTGTAATTAATAATAAGTAAAAAAGAAATATAAAATACTGTATAACAAATATGAATATAAACTAATATTAATTAAATTGTTTTAATTATTAACAATTTTATGGCAAATTCCATTATTCTGAAAGGTGATTCTCATTTTATTCTTATTACTGTAATACTTAAAAATACTGTATACACACACACACACACACAAAAATGTGATACACAATTTAAATGATAATAATAATAATATATTATTGTGCCTTATGGTCTTAAAATAGTAAGAAAGTCTGAAAAGTAAGAAAGGTTTTTTTCCCCTGTTGACTTTATAGTGAAATATGACCTAGAGGTTTTGGTAGTGCTTTGTGTCAGTAACCCTGATAGTCTTAAACAAAGATATGGGACAGGAAGAAATAACCTTTACCATGGATAAAAAGTTCTGGCCAAATAAGGCAACAGTCTCCACCCGCTGAGAGCAGCAGCCCTCCAGCCACGCCCACTAGACTCCATCCCCCATTATAGATGAGCACCAGAAGGACCAGACAGAGGATGGGAGTAGCCTTAATGCCAGCAGCCAGAAGAGAGGGGGCGGAGTCTGGGATCCACAGGTAGAAGTATATTGCACAGGATGCGAAAAAAGGGAGGAGATAAAGAAACAGTACACAGGTCTGGAAATGAAGAAATGGAGAAAATAATGAAAACAATACAGGCATGATTTATATTTTAAAAATACACAGTCTACACTCATTGTGCTCTAAACAAAATTCAATCAGTATTACAATGCTTTTATTAAACATGAACTGCAAATATCTTTATTATAAAAGAAAATAACACAGGATATGAGTGTGATGCCAAGCTAGAAAAATTATTTTGACTAAATTGTGACTAAATGTGGATTTGAATGAGTAAACTGGATGTGATAGAAGTGCACAAATAAGCCCACAAGAGCAGAACACAGGTGTCTGTATTTGTGCGCAGGTGTGTGTGTGTGTGTGTGTGTTAGCTGTGATTACCGTGTTCCTGCGTTGTCTGCGGTCATAAGCACTTGTTTCCAGGATGTCCATCTCTCTCTTCTGGCCTAAGCAGTCATACACGCAACGTTCTCAGATGTGGGCCACCTACTCCACAGCTGGGAGATCTGTAATGCCTCTGTGAACTATGTATGCCAGTGTGTTTCTTTGGCTGGGGTGGGTCTGGACTTTGGACCATTATGAGTGATGCGTTATCTGTCAGATTGTTCTGTCATAAACAACTTACACCCCTCACTCTCTCTCCCTGTTTCTGAGCCTGTCTCTCTCTCTCTGCCTGTTTCTCTCTGCAATATGGCATGTTACCCTGTAGTGACATCATCGCTAAGAGCAAAGGTTTGATGATTGAGACACAAGTTCAGGGAGATAAACCTTTTTTTTAATTAATGATAGAGCATTATCTTTCTCAGTCTGTTTTATGTCTTTTCAGCATCTTTTATTCACTTTATCAGCTTTTCTGATGTATGTGTGTGTGTGTGTATATATATATATATATATATATATAATTTAGGACTTTCAAGTGATTAATCATGATTAATCGCATCCAAAATAAAGGTTTATGTGTGTGTACTGTGTATATTTATTATGTGTATATACACACACATACATGTATGTGTATATATATATATATATATATATAAAATATATAAATATACATATTTTATATATAAATATAACGTGTGTGTACTTATATACACATAATAAATACACACAGATATTATGTAAACACAAATTTTATTTTGGATGCAATTAACTGCGATTAATCGTTCGAGCCCCAATTATTATAATTCCTATTTGTTTTAATTCCTATTGATCATTAGCTTCTCAGTTGTTAGTGGTTTTAACAGCATGGTTGTAAAAACTGTTGCAATTCTGGAGATATTTCCATATTCCCCCACTTTTACCCACTTGAGGGCACCACTGAGCTGCAGTGTTATGATATGAAAAGGGGGAAATTATTGTCATTGAATGTATGATATAATAATATAACATTTTTGTCATACATTTGTTAATAAGTGTGATTTGAGACTTGTAAATATGTAGATTTTTGTTACTGGAAATAAAGTAAACGTTACCTAAAATTAATAAAAAAAAAATAAAAAAGATTTAAAAAAGAAACTTGAAAACACAACAAAATTACTAAACCTCTAAAAAAATCTAAATGATAACGGAAAATATAAAAATTGAAAAACTAATTCAAACTAATAATAAAACCTATAATTGTATCTCAAAGATACTAAAATAGCTGTTTTAAGATCACTGTTTCCACCATGAACAATACTACAGAATATTCAAATGCCAGTGGACTCACACAGTCTCTAATCATTAACAATCCTGGCCGACATGCACTTTAACCTGCTCTATCCCAGTCTCTCACGCTCAAACAGTGAAGAGATCGACGGACATCGAAAAGAAAAAGAGAGTAAGAAGTAGAGAAAAGGTGAGGAATTAGGAGGTAAGTGAAGGTTGTGAGGACAGATAGTGTCATTGAGATCAGTGTTCGAGATAAAGGAGAATATATAGTTGGACACTGACAGAGAGGTGGAGAAAATGAAAAGGGGGAGGAGCCAATGATTGAACCAAGAGCACGTGTGGGGAATATAAAAACAAATCTAGTACATGCTGGTTTGATGTTATAGAGTTTACAAAAATACAGTTGTTGTTGTTGTATAGATGTGAATAATAATAAGCTCTCTTGAACTACTTTAGCAGACCGACAAATTTAAAAAATGATTTTATGGTTCATCTGCTGAATCCCTTTTCTCACTTTGTAGATATGACTGATAGAGCCTTAAAGGTTGGAATTGTGGGATATGGACATTTAGGTGAGTTCTCCAACGAAAACTTATGTTTCAAGAGCCACAACTTTCTCTGCTTTGATTAAATTTGCACTTCAAATCTAATATTGCAAAATAGCATTGACAAAAGAAGAACTTTCATTAATAATCGTTACTGTTTTAAAATAGTAAATAATACTATTTTTTATTTTTCTCAAGGAATGAGCGTAGAAGAACCGTACATGGTTGCATAGGTCGTGTAAAACCTGGAAGTATCAGGGAATTAAAAAAAAAAAATTCTAAGCCTCATAGAATTCATAAAAATGTCTATAGTATATAGTGATTATACAGTTTTACATATGATCTGCACATTAATATTTCAGCTGATAAGAGATTGCTCATGTGTTTATTTTAAGCCATTTTATGCCCCATATGTGAGTGTGCGAGTTTGTTGAGTCTGTTCTTTGTTTAAACTGATTCACGGATCTGTCTGAATGATTCATTAGCGAATCTGTCTTAATTTGATTGATTTGAAAAATCATGGAAATTTATTGGCCAAAAAGTGTGGAAGAGCTGTAATCACTTTTATGTTCAGTATCAGTTCATGTTCTGTCAGGCCATGAATCTTGTATTTATTCTTTTCTCCTTATTTAAGCCAGTTTCTTGTTGAGAAGATCCAGAAGGAAGGGCCTGAGGCGGGGCTGCAGTTATGTTTGGAACCCGAAATGCAGACAAACTTAGAGATTCATTGCCCAAAGAGCTGATTCTACATGACCTCTCAGATTTCACACGCAGGTAAAATTTGTATATAATTTGTATATATAAAGTTTGTATGCACATGTATGTTGCATATTTGTTTAAATGGAAGAGAGACAGCAAAGCAGAGAGCATTACTGTGGCACTTACATGTGTTCTATGTGTGTGTTTGGTGTTTCAGAGAGACCAGTGTAATAGTGGAAGTGTGCCATCCACTGATAGTTAAAGAGTTTGGGGTCAGATTTCTGTCACATGCTCACTTCCTGGTAACTTGATTGTTTACCTTTATATTATAACCAGAAATCCTGACTGCCATAGTATTTACATTTATTTCAAAATGATTATCAGCCGTGTTGTCTTAGTATAACTGTCCCTGATCATGTTTTCCCCTTCCTCAGGTGGGCAGCCCTTCTGCCCTCTCTGACCCCAAGCTTGAGCAAGATCTTCGCACTGCTGCAAAACAGTATGGGAAAACACTTTATGTGCCCAGTGGTGCATTATGGGGTGGCCAAGATATTAAAAAAATGAATGGCAGTGGAACTTTGCGGGTAAGGCTATTTTCTTATAATTATTTTTAAACACAAGAAATTAAAGCACTGTTCAAAATCTGACTGTCCATAAAAAAATATTTATCTCCAAGAGGTGGTCTGCCAAAATTAAAATACTAAATATTAAGTTAGCATAACCAAAACTAAATTTCAACATATGTTTCATTGTCCCTGCCACATTAAAACATATAAATTACATTTCAAATGTTTTCCTTATAGGCTCTCTCCATCCGAATGTCTAAACATCCCTCTTGCTTTCGGCTGACTGGTGGTCTGCTCTCTGATTGGACGGAGGGAGAGGGGAGGCGGGTCTTGTACAACGGTTCAGTAGCAGAGCTCCGCCCCATCGCCCCAAATAATGTGAACACTATGGCAGCTGCAGCCATAGCCGCATCTAAGTTAGGCTTCCCGGAGAAATCGTCTCAGACACTGCATGAGTAACAAACTAGACCTAGTTTTGATCTAGTTTCTGTGATGAAGCGGGAAGTAAGCTGAAGTGGCACTTGGCACTATGATAGGGGTTTTTTGGGGGGTGGTTGCTAGGGCATTGCTATGTTCTGTAATTGCTAAGGGGTTCAGAGTGATTCTTAGGATGTTTGTTGCTAGTGTAACCCCTCTCTCCCTGGTCCTCACCGCCACACCTCATTCTTATTCCGAGTGGGTTTCGAACCCGGGTCTCCGGCATGGGAGGCGGACACACTAACAAGGAGGCTAAATGACTGCAGCCACTTGCATCAGTCGCTAGTGCGTCTCTCTTGAGATCAGGGGAGTGAGGTTTACCTGCACAGCACCTACGCACTGGCCTCCGTTACACTCACCCCCCTATACCTCACTCCCATCCGTCTCTCTTGAGATCAGGGGAGTGAGGTTTACCTGCACAGCACCTACCCGCTGGCCTCCGTTACACTCACCCCCCTAATACTCACTCCCATCCGGGTCACGGCACCGATGTAACCCCTCTCTCCCAGGTCCTCACCGCCACACCTCGTTCTTGTTCCAAGTGGGTCTCGAACCCGGGTCTCCGGCATGGGAGGCGGACGCACTAACAAAGAGGCTAAATGACTGCAGCCGCATCTCTCTTGAGATCAGGGGAGTGAGGTTTACCTGCACAGCACCTACCCGCTGGCCTCCATTACACTAGGTGGTTGCTCACTTACACAAGTAAAAAAAATGTAAGGGTCCCCGAGTCCCAGGTTTGGGTTTTTGTTCAAATCCCTAACCGTTAATATGACCTATAGGATTTGTAACGTGAGCATTAGCGATCTAAGAACATGATTATTGCAATATCTCTTTCTCCTTCTCTCCAGATTATCAGACTACCATATTGTGGAGGCTGAAGTAACTGGTCCAGATGGGTTCACAGTGAAAACGGTGCAACAAAACCCTGCCAAACTGGGAGCTGTAACAGGAAATGCCACATACAATTCCTTCTGGAGCAGCTTACTGGGTATGTGTGTGTAAGAAAGACAGATGGAGTTAACTGACGGATTGCATAGCCAAAAACCACAGTATGAACATCCTTAGCCAAATCTGGATTTACACAGAGAATGCAGGCATAAAAAGCCATTATTCTATCGTAAACGTTTTAGATTCTTTTGGAACTAATAATGACCATGACTGTCAAACCATGATTTAAAGTAAATAACAGCTTAAATTTGGGTCTGTTCTTCATATAAAGATATTGTATGACATTAAAAGACTTAAAATAAAGTGCGAGTCTTAAGGATTATTTGTATGATATTTTTATTGTATTTTTTGGCCTTGACAGCCCCTGGTCACCCTCTGTGTTTATTTTGTATATAAAAATATAACATGAACATTCTTCAAAACCTCTTCTTTTGTGTTCCATGGAAGAAAGAAAGTCATACAGCTTTGGAAAAAGTGTATACATAATTTTTTTCTTAAACTATTCCTGTGAAGAGTTTCTAATAAAGATCTCTTTAAAATAAATGTTTGTAACATTTATTTTTATCGTCTCACTTTTATTTGTATTGTCGTTTAAGTTTTAACAGTGGCCATTTGAATGTCAGCTTTAGATTGGCATCACTGGCACACAGCTGGATGTCAATTTCATATGAATCCGTATGAATTGTCATATGAATAACTCCAGCTGCTATTTAATCCTTTGCTCTCTGTTGTTTTTTTATGAAAGACACCAGAGAAATCTTTCAACAGAAAGTCTTAAAATCACACACTTTGGCTCACCACATACTTAAATATCTTATTTATTTCTCTTCAGAAAACCAACATGCAGACATTCTGTTTGTAGGCATTACGTTCATTTTTAGGGGAGTGTTATTATGTGTGTAAAGTGTGTGTGTGTGTGTCACAGTGTATGTAAGTGCCTCACAGTATAAGCAGTGCGTGTATGTATGCATGTAGGGGTGTGTTTTAGTTTTTCTCAGGAAGACCAACTGTCTGATTCTTGTTCCGGTTCGGCAAGTTGAACGGTTGGCGGATGTTGACCCGGTCTTTCTCCACCTCTAGATCTTCATCATACGGTTCCTCTTCATCTTCAGCCTCACTGTGATGAGGAGACGAGTGAAGCGAGTGGGCGGGAGATGGGGGAACTGAGGCGGGCCGCGGGTAACGGAAGCCTGTGGCCTGAATTATGTAAATAAAAGAATAAATGTCAACAAATATTTACATCTAGTTTTAGACGGCTGTCTAGAGCTGTCAGAGATTCTCAATCTTTTTGACTTCAAGGCCCCACATTGTCCACAACAATATTCAAAGGCCCCATGACTTGTCCAGTTTTTTTTATTTTTACTTTCAAAATATTTTTTATTCACATTTTTTACCTGATAAACTGAGTAGAAAAATGTATATTGTAAATATATTAAAATTACCATGGAAATTAAGACTTAAGTAATGTACATGACTATTCCTTGGCTAGAAATCACATTTTTAATATCTTATATATTCAGGTTTTTCATTGAGGAGGTGAATTAAAACAAGATATATCTTGATTTAAAGTTTCTTTTTTTTTTTGTTTTACTTATGTTAATTGTTGTTTCGTCTAATTTGAAATAATTTTAAGTCATCTTGAGGCCCCCTTTGAGGTCTGATGAGGACCCTGGTTGAGAATCGCTTTTCTAGATAATTAAACTTCAGATTTTTATTAAAATAAAATGAATAAACTCAATTTCAATATCATGCTTCATCATTTTAACTTACGGAAGTGGGTTCTTGAGGCTCATAGATGTAGGTGTCCGGGAAAGCTTTCGCTAAAGCCATATGGCGGGCAGAAACATAATACTAAGAAACAGAAACATGCTATATTAGTTCATGAACAATAAGCTGTTAGCTTTGTTTTGATGCACATAAAGTTAATTGGACACATCTTGTGGCTGACAGTCCCGGATGATCTGAAAATTCACTGTGTATTTTGTGTGTGTGTTATCTGACCCTGCCCAAATATCTCCAATCTAGCAAGTCACTGAGGCGCTCTGTCCTGTTCCTCTGAATGATCCTCTGCCTGCGGCTCTGCTGACAGAACTGAAACAGGAAAGACGTCAGCTGATTACAGGACTCATCCACCCCACGATACCGCCGATCCAGAATATAGATACCTGAAAGAGAGGGAATTTACAAGAATGTGCATTACACATAATGAAATGAAATAAATCTGATTCAAACAAAAATGAGAGAATCTTGTAGGTAATGTTCATCATTTCCATCATATATGTACAACTCTCACCGTAAGCTGATGGGTCGGCAATGTGCTCCTCCATGAAACAGCCAAACCCAGACAAGTTAGTGGAGATCGATGGGATGCCCATCACTGTACACTCAGCTGAGAAAATGATGTGTGCATTGTATTGAGTGGATGTTATTAATACATAATTCATACAATATCATTCAAAAGTTCGGGGTCAGTATGATTTTTTTGCATGTTTTTGAAAGAAGTCTCTTCTGCTCACCAAACTGCATTTATTTGATCAAAAAAACAGTAATATTGTGAAACTTTATTACAGCTTAAAATTTCACGTGATCCTTCAGCTCAAGAAACATTATTATTATCAATGTTGAATACGGTTGTGCTGCTTAATATTTTTGCTGCTTTTTTATATTTTTGTGGAAACTGAGATACAATTTTTCTTTGATGAATAGAAAAAAATATTTTTAAAAAACTATAAAAATGTATTTACTGTCACTTTTGATAAATTAAATGCATTCATTCTGAATAAAAATTATTTCCTGTTACTATAACAGAATATATAATTTCATGTACTAAAGCCATGTACTAAAAAAAGTGTTACAATATTACTGACCAAAGTTTTGAATGGATCATGTATGTACATAAATATGTGCACGGTACACTGGTAGTGTGTGCAGTTTTACCTGGTGTGTATCCCCAGGGTTCATAGTAAGATGGAAATACTCCAAGATGGCAGCCTCTCACAAACTCCTCATAGTCCATTGGCAGGAGAGGAGAAGTTGAGGAGAGAAACTCTGGATGGAAGATTACCTAGTTAAGAATATGAGGCATTAAAGTGGATTCAGTTGTTTTTCTACATAAAGAATTAGTGCACCTTTAATTACATTATCCATTACAGTATAGTTATCTGAGTGTGTGTGTGTGCATGTACGTACCTTGACTCTGTCCTGAGCACTGTTAAAGAGGCCGATACGGCGGATGCAGTTGAGGATGGGGTCACTGCTGTCCTCCAGCATGTTGTGAGTACAGATGGGGGGCAGGCACTGGCGCTGGGTGGCGAAGATGGCACGTTTCATCATGGTGAAGTCCTCTTTATCTAACATCTTAGACACATCAGGCAGCTGCCCTCTAAAAACAAGAAAGCAAGCAATGTCACTCCTCAGAAGAGATTCATACATTTTCTAAAAACAGTTAGAACACAACAACCAACTCACACTAAAAGTGATTCGTAGAGTTTCTTCCCAAAGCGCTCCTTCACAGTCTGTGCAGTGTCCCTGGCAATACAACAAAGACGGAATTTCACAACAAAATTCATTCCCTGTTTCAACAGTCCCTGTGTCCAAGTAAAAATTTGGAAAAAAATTGTATATGGTTTTTGAACAACACGAGTGCGAGTAAATAAGAAAAGTTCGTTTTAATCATTTTAACTACTCTTTTCAATCAGGTGACATTCTGAATACTGTTTATTTTAAGTAAATCTATAAATAAATAAATATATTCCTTTCTACATCATCACACATCAATCACTGCAGAATGGCAACAGAAAACAGGCAGTTGTGTTAGGATGCTCTAGACCAGGGGTTCTCAAAGTCTACATTCAAAGGTCCAAATCTGAATTTTCATCAGTGTTAAAGGTCCGGACCGGAACAATTGGTTTTTAATAAACATACATAACATGCATAACAAATAAATATACATTTTTTGAAAAAATAAAGTGCAAAACAATTAATTTAAGTGTCAGCAATAGAGGTCAACCCAATAAGGGTTTTTCTCTGGCCGATGCCGATATTTAGAAATCAGGGCAGCCAATGGCCGATATATGATGCTGATTTTTTTGGCCGATATGTTTGGCAGATTTTTTATTTATCTCATAAAAGCGAATTTGAATAAATGATTATTGCAGGGCACAAGATGGTAATAGTAATAGTAGTAGTAGTAGCCTAATTCATAGTAATAATACATGGCTCAAAGCACCTTCTCAAAACAGTTCTGAAGCATGCTTTTTGTTTATGTTTGCTGACAGACACCAGTGTTTCTCCCAGACTTGCAAATGCACATCCATTCTCTGCCAGCAGGAGGCGCTGTTGGAGCGGAGATAAAAAAAATTTTTGCCCATTTTCGATTATCCGGGAGTGACGCGCAGTGACGCGCTGCCAAGATGACGACAGCTGGCTCCGCCTACTTTAGGCTTCAAAACGCTCCTCAGAAGTCTACAGGTTATGTCACGGACACTACGTCCATGTTTTTATACAGTCTATGGTCCGGACTTTGAGAAGCACTGCTCTAGACCATTGTTGTTATTGTTAAGTACAACTAAAACTACAATTATTACAAATTGTTTTCATTAGTTTAATTAAAAAAAACGCTGAAATACATAAAATATAAATATTAGATGAGATGGTTAAACTTAAAAATCTGGCAACTAACTGAAAAAAAAAAGTTGAAGCTGAAGTACTAAAACGACCAAAACTAAAACTGAATTAAAAATAAAGAAACTGAATTTAAATAAAATATTTAAATTAAAGAATATTTTAAAAACAAACTAATAAAAATGACAAAAGCACATAGCAAAATTACTAAAACTTAAACTAAAATTAAAATGAATAATAAAAGCTAATGCAAAATATTAATAACTATAACAGTATATAAATAATACTAAAATAAAACTGCGTTCTAGACAACTTGGTTGTTTATATTAAGTCGGCTGAGCTAAACGGTGTCATTCATGTTAGCAGTCCTCACAGTGCAGTTGTCATGGTTACCAGAGCTGTTTCCGTACGGCTTGGCCCTTCAGGGTCTCCACGTTGAAGTTGTTGGTACGAGCAGGCATGATGAAGAATGCTATTATGGTCACCTCGCTGTGATTCACCTGGACATACAAGAATAGCGTTTCAAATCAAGGTCAAATTTAAACCTTTTCTAACAAAGATTCTTCATCTTTATAACATTTTGTGTTCGCATTGTGATGTATTGTAATATTTTGTGTTCGAATGGACAAACAACCAAAAACACAAATACTTACCCTCAACAGGTAATTAAGTCTAGCCAATGCTTCAAGAAAGAGGTCAGCTCCTTTATTTGAGAATTCATAGCGTCCAGCAATGAAGAGAAATACTGTCTTGTCAAGGTTAAAATCTAAATGCCTGCACACAAAACAATAAGAGAAAACATATATGACAGAGTGTTTTGCTTACGGACACATGAATATGATTGCGTGTCTTATGAGCTCTGACCCGTAGAAATGGCCTCTGACAAACTCCTGGATGCGCGCTTTACTCTGAGCGTGGAGGTTCTGGAACTCGTGCATGGCTGAGAACTTCTTCACATTCAGGCCATTTGGAGTCACGATATCTGACAGAAAAAGATGAACGTGGATAACTTTGGCAAATAGACCAAATAGGGTCAAAAAGCAGCAGCTTCCTGGCCAAAGTCCAGTTCTGAACAAAATCAGGAAGCATCCACAGTGATGACATGAAGCCAGAATCCTTTTCTAATATCAGATCAATCCGCACATGATGACATCTTAAATTATATCATCTGACTGATTCATGACTGCATTTTGTTGCCATTAGGATGCAGTGTTACAATCTCTTGAGGAAACAGTACAAGCAGAAACTGAAGTCACCTGGTTTCCGCTTTAGTAAGTGCTCGGCTTCAATGGCAGTGATCTGAGAGACGGTGGTGAAGACGTGTGCACAGCGGGCTGCTGCACGCTCCAGACAGTACCGATGATAGATCTGCCTGTCACCTGCCTCTTTATCCACATTGAACTATACATGGAGAAATAACGACAGACACTTCAGGAAGCTTTCTTTAACTTAATTCCATGAACTTGTCTCTCTCTCTATATGTGTTTATCCATTTAGAGCATCATCTTGGTGTCAAAACTTTATGTGCTTAAAAATAGGGAACATTTTCTAAAGAAATCTGATTCTATCTGGCTATGAGGTGTGGGTTATAATAAACAGCATAAACAGTAACAGAGGACGTATCATTTATCCACAAACACACATTCTCTCGCACAAACCTCAGCGAGCTTGTTGTAGAAGTCAACGCTCCCAGCACACAGGTATCGGCCGAGCAGCGTGGCATGTGTGGTGAAGATGGTTGCTACGGGTAACTGGCGCTGCCTGCATAAGACGAGTCCTAAACCCGCCAGCCACTCGTGAAAATGCGCTACAATGTGAGGAGGTTCGTCACACTGAGCTGCATACTGAAACACACATATTCAAATTATAATTAATGAGGATTAATAATATTGTGTGTGTGTGGGGGGGGGGAATTGTGTCCAAGTTTCAATTTAAAAAATGTGATGTATCTTTTATAAAAAAATTTAATTCACTGGATAACCAAAAACAGGAAATAGGCGTAAGAACATTCTATTAAATTTCTATTATTATTATTTCTATTGAATTTCTATTAAATAACTATAACTTTTTTTTCTCACTGAATTTTGTTGGGAACATAACATGCGCATTTACAATCACAAAATTAATATTAATATAGATATCATATAAAGACAGAATGAAACACACTTCCCGTGTTGTTATAGTTAACTAAAATTAAAACTATTAAAAAGTTTTTGTAAATTAAAATAAAGCTGAGATAAAACACAACATAAATATTAGATGAGAAGTGTAAACTTCTAAAAAACTTACAAGGCAACTAACTGAAATAAATAACTTTGTTGTTAAAGTACTAAAATTACTACAACTAAAAGTCAATTAAAATAAATTAAAGAAATATAAAAAAACTATAATCACAAAAGGACATAACAAAATTATTAAAACAAACTAAAATTAAGATGAAACTGAAAATACAAAAATAAGATTTCAAAATATTAATAAATACTATAACAGAATAGAAGTAATACTAAAACAACACTGCACACCTCTCCCAGTAGCCATGCAGTGAGGAAGCCAAAGAGAACAGCATCGTTTGCCTCTCTGTCGAACCAGGGCACACCAATACTGCAATTCTCCCACAATTCAATCTTCCAGCGGTCCAGAGACCAGGCTGTGAAGCCCACATCTAGCAGAATCACATATGGAGAGCCTTCAATCAGCCATCGACCAAAATATGCCTAGAGTAGAAGGGAAAGGAAGGAAGGAAATTAGAAACCTTGTCAATTTGCTAGATATTAAAAATGATACCATTCAACAGAAATAGTATACTGATAACTAAGACCTGATATGTTCATAAGATCTTCACACAGTTTTGCCCCAAATTTTCAATGATCACAACTCACACCATTTGGGAGGCAACTCCCGGTTTGTTAGTCTTAAGACATCATTGTGTATCAACAACAGATGAAGCCACATGGACAAGCTAGCAAACATTTTTAGTTAATACATACCATGAAAAACCTGGATGCTTGACTTCGATTTACACAAATTCATTTCTGTTCATACTGATGGCAAAGTGACCCTGCAATAACGCTGGTGCCAATTTACACTGCATCTCTCAGGGGAAAATTTCCTCAAAGAACTGAAATAGACCTCAGTCTGGCTGTCAGACACTGATATAGCCTTTAACCTTTAAAGGGGTCATATGATGCGATTTCAATTTTTCCTTTCTCTTTGAAGTGTTACAAGCTCTTGGTGCATAAAGAAGATCTGTAAAGTTGCAAAGACTAAAGTCTCAAATCCAAAGAGATAATTCTTTATAAAAGTTAAGAGTCAACCACGCCTACCTAAAACGGCTCGTTCTAACACGCCCCCACATGTCTACGTCACGATGTGGGAAGATTTGCATAACGCCGCCCAAATGTTCACGCAAAGAAAGAAGGCATAACTTTTATTCTCGCTGTAGTATTGTTGTTGTTGCCGCTGCCATGTCGTGAAGGCGCTGTGTGTTTCGTTGTGAAAGTGAAACTACTTTGTTTGGTCTTCCAAAAGAGGACGATATCCGCTTCGTCATGCCTAGAGCTGATCCATGATTCCATGGTCGCTGAGGAAATACACCAACTTTGCACTGTGAATCGCCGGATCGGCTTTCACCGTGGACGAAG